AAGGTATATCAACTTAATACTTTTACATTAAAAAAATATCGGAAACCGGATGGCTAATGATTTAAGGTATTTAAGGTATTGCATTCATGAGGCACTCAAATGTAAGTTACTAGGCACATCCTCATTGCTTTCTATTAGGTCATTTGATTACGATTTATATTCAGATTTTATTTTATTTCATGTAAAAAATATCTCCAGAAGTACCTATCTTCATACAATAAAATGGCCTTACAGTGTTTTAATCTTCTGACTTTAAATGGCGTAAACAGCGTTTACGTAAAGAATTACTTTATTAAATTGAATATTCGTCACAGTAACAAGAAAATTTAAGTTAAGTAATCAAAACATTTGAGTGAGCACAAACGAGAAATCCGAATGTTATTACCCAATTGCCCCAGGATGATATTTCCGAGTGTATTTATGTATTCATTAATATTCTATTCACACAATATGTACATCTATATCTTAAACAAAGTATATTATACATTAAGCCTAAAGCAAAATTATATTATATACAATATTTCATTTTACATAATTGAACGTCAAATTGTATTTAAAGCAGGGTATGAATTTATCAAGATAAATATATCTTTTGATAATTATCAAGATAATTATCAGATAATTATTCGATAGTTATCAAACAGATATAAACTTAGCAATCCTTGTGTAGGGATAGGTATTTGACTATTTGCCTATCATAATTTACGTTAGAATAAATTATACACTTTTAACAATCAAGTGAAATTAATGAGTGGAATATCATCCCCATCCTACTCAACTGCATTAAGTCAGTTTGCTGATTGAGTTTTTTGAGCTGATTGAGAGAGTTCAGTTAGCTGATCGACAATTTGAATAGTTACAAATTAAATATTTTCAATTATATTTATCAAAGATAATTATCAACCCATATTTATCATGATAATCATCATGATAATTATCAAAGATAAATATCAATGATAATTATCATTTCGAACCCTGATTTAAAGCATAGTAAACAAAAACTGTATAATAAAGTAGCTCCAAAGTCTATTTTTGTTTAAACCCCTATGATTTCAGGCAACTTTGTTTTGGCAAAATGAAAATAAATATTAGGTGCATGTTTTGATAGTCTAGACGCGATGGACAGGCAGCGAATGCAAAGACCCTTTATAAACAGTAAAGTGACCCGTCCGTTGATTAAAACAGGAAAAATGTAGTATTAACAAATTTTGTCCAGAGGAAAATAACACTGAATTGTTGAGAATAAATATTTCAATTTTATTTAGTCATAAAAATAACTTTAACACAATCAAGCCGTGAACAAGAACCAAATGTTGAAATGTTAGTATTTCCAAAATCAGCAAGTACATAATTATAAATGAAATAAAAACATCCACTTGTTGGTGGAAATAGTAGATTTAAAAGAGAAAAGTATATACTCGTAGGTTTCGCAGGTGCGCTTATCAAATACTTTCATCATTCATCATTGATGTATAAATTTTACCTTTATTAGAGTTCATACCTAATCATATTTACCTATTAGATATTCATATCTTAAAATATTGTCAGCTGGCACCGACTTCGAAAATATCTGATTAAGTATCTATTCTAAATGAAAACCCCCGCTTAGTTATTTTTTTACATTTTAGTGCCTGGAAGTCGGTTTTTATTTTATTTTTTAAGTTTTTATTAAATATAATAATAATCATATATTGTCGTACCCAATGCCTTTTGTTTATTTTACCTCAATTTTATTATTCCAAAAGTTTTTAACAAGAGTGACATACATATTATAGTACCTAACTGTTAACAGTTCACAAGCTGTATATCCTTGTCAAAGAGGTATGACTTATTAGGGAGTTAACGTGTTGTTTTCTCTACATAAAAATTACGATGAGTGCTTCGTAAAATAATAATAACACGACAACAATAATAAAAACTTTCAATACTATGAGTATAAAAGTATTGAGAAATTATCTGAACTGTTCTGTCCATTTATGGAAGTCAAAAGGGTTTTAACTTGGCCCTCTTTTATTCTACTATTGACCCGCGCTCATTTCTCTTTCTGTGCAAAGTAGGTACATGTGTTCCGCTACATACGTAGAAATTTGCTTTAATAAATTAAGGAATTTGCCATATGTTATTTTATACAATTGTTTTTCGTATAGTACCTACTTTAACGGATATTTTAGGGTAAAGTTACACTTTAATGATATCGTTTTGATACCTATAATTAATATATAAATATATAAATTGCAACATGCATATTTTATAAAGTATGTACTATGAAATATTTCAATATCTACATCAAATAAATAAAAGATTGAAAAATTAATAAAGAGACTTTAGGGTACAGTTTAGATATGAGTGACGGTAGGTAATTAAATTTTATATTGATTAATTAATCGTTGTTTTTATAACAAAATACATTTAAACATACTATTTAATTATTAAATGCATATTGTATGCTAATTACAGATTATTATTGAAATTGATCTATCTGGGTAACCTTTAAATCTCTAAACAATATTAGATCTGGAGTTCGCAACCAATTTATTTTAAAAATATTTTAGAAAAACAAAAAAATCTATCCCACGGGGAACGTACATTTTTCCGGGATAAAAAGTAGCCTATGTGCTATTCGACTATAACCTATCTCTGTGCCTTTCACCCAGATTCGTTCAGCCGTACTGGCGTGATTGAGTAACAAACATCCAAACATCAAAACTTTCATATTTATAATACTAGCTTGCTTCCCAATACAAACTTTTATCCCCATTTTCACCCCCTTACGGGATGCTTTCCGGGATAAAGTGTATCCTATATCCTTACCAGGATCTCAAACTATATTCTTAGCAAATTTCATATAAATCGGTTCAGTAGATCCAGAGATTACCACCTACAACATCACAATCTCACAAACTCACAAACTTTACCTCTTTATAATATTAGTCATAGATCACTAATAAAGAACTTCTTAGTTATCGATAATATTAATCTTGAGTCGGCATTGCCATTCAGCGGGGGAATGCGGCTTTCTTTCTACAATTCCACGCGGACATGACTTGTACAATAATAATTAGTGTACATTTGTATATATATATATATATATATGTATTAGTTATATATATATATATATATATATATATATATATATATATATATATATATATATATATATGTATTAGTACAAACAATATAGTTTCATATTTCCAAGTTCATTATTTCAAAATGTTGCTTTTCGTGCACTAGTTAAAATTATATTTAAACTTATAATATTTTTAAACCTATAATATTTTTATCAAAGGAAATTAAGTAATTGAAGTAATTATTCATAATAAAATAGGTACATTTTTTACATCGCCTTAAAAATCCACGAAATAACAAAAGGATCAAAATAATGACGGCTTGCCGTTTAATATTTTATGTGACTTTTGCAACAATAACAACGAGACAGCCTAAAATAACTCAGTTTTCATGAACACAACAATTCCATTGTAAGCCTCTGGTTTTAATTTCTAGTACACTTTTTGTTGCTTGTTCTGTTAAGATTACGATAGTGGAAAGCTCTTTTTATCCAACTTCCAAAAAGGAGGAGGTTCTCAATTAGTCGGAATCTTTTTTTTTCTTTTTTTTATGTATGTTCACCGATTACTCGAAACGCTTGAATCGATTTGGAATTTTTTTTGTGTTTTAAAGGGTATACTTTCCAGGTGGTCCCATATAAATTTTATCGAAATCGGTCGAGCGGTTTTAAAAAAAATCAACAATAAATATATTTTTTAAATAAATTGTTTAATCGAATATGTTATTAAAAACTTTCTTCTTACAAATTACCTGCTTATTACGTCTACACTAAAAATGGAAAAATAAAAACTTAAAAAAAACCGACTTCCAGGCACTAAAATGTAAAAAATAACTAAACGGAGGTTTTCATTTAGAATAGATACCTAATCAGATATTTTCGAAGTCGGTGCCAGCGGACAATATTTTAAAATATGAATATCTAATAGGTAAATATATACATATTTTACGTATCGAAATATATTAGATTTGCTTTGCATCGGCCTTCCTTTATTCCTTACATAAAAAAGTAAAAAGACTTTGCATATTTTATACACAGATTGATGCTTAATAGCAATTTCTTTGTAAATATTTAAAATACGAAAAAGTTCAAAAGTTACGAAAAAAAACTAAGGTGCCTGGTAAAAAGTTTTTACGCAAGAAAAATTGATGCCTTTGCCTTTAAATTACGACAGGCGCTTTACATTTTAGTTTTACACTTTGTTAATACTTTATCGCTTGATATTTAGTATTTACCTAAATAATTTTAAATAAAACATGTTACAATGTTTTATATTTAAAAATAAATTTCTACACGTAGTATTCTTTTAGCTTCCATAATATATTATACCGTCCCCATACATATGTATGATGCACATAAATCCTTATGAAAAAAAAAACGTGTGTGTGTACTTTCGCACGTGAGAAGTTTAATATACTTCTTTGGCGTAACAGAACAAAAATAGCTAAAGATTTCATCCCGTATGTCACAGCTCTCTGTAAAAGGAATGCAGCTAATCTCATCATGTCGCTTTTCGGCTTCGCTTTCGGCGCGCGCATCGTAAAATTTTGCTCTCATAATTTTTTCCAAACGTGCCAAAAGAAGTATAACTACAAAAATACATTAGCCTTGTCGCTAACTAAACAGTAAGTTATATGACAGATGACGGAAAAGCCACAAGAACTTTTCTCATATATTGTCAAGTCTATCATATGTCATGTATAGCATTCTATTTCCTATTGATATTTATTTGAAAAAAATATTATTTTTGCCAAGCATTAAGGCCTAAGTGTATTATGATTTTAGTACCTATCTACATAATCCACAGTTACATATTCATATAAAATTGTGTGAAATATAATATATAAAATATAAATAATGCAAGTGAAACAAAAGAGAGAAAAGAAAAACAAAACATATAAAACGTTTTTATTTAACGACCGTTTTATCAAATTTAAGTTACTGACCTGCTGTCGAAAGTTTGTAAAACCACAGGAACAGGCTCCTCCTCGGGCACCTGATAATTAATTTGCGGTGGAACTTGAGAGGATGTCAATGCAAGTGCCTTGTAACGTGATTGTTCAGCCGTTGGCAGGACAATATCCACTGATCGCGATCGAAGACTCGTTCCCGGAACCGTTAAGCAATCACCACCCTCACTTAATTCTTCTGCTCTTGCCCCGCCGGAAACTTTTGAAAAACACGAATCTACAGATGCAGCACGATCACGTTTTAATTCAGGTACGGCTAAATAAATATCGTGAACCAAGCTGTCCTTTGCATTGTTTGCTTGCTCTGATGCTTGAACATTTTCTAATGAACTGCCAGTAGGTTCCACAAAAAATGCTTCTTGTCTTGAAATTGAACGTCGCCTTTGAGGTAGAATTAATGGTTCATCGACTGGTGGTTGTAATTCGAAGGATGGTGCGCCTGGTGAAGGCGGTGGTGACTGTGGCGGTGGCGGTAATAATGTTTTAGGGGCTGGTGCAAGAAGAACTCTCGGTATATCTGCATCACTTTCATCATCCTCATCATCGTCATCCTCAGCTGAGGAAGATGCAGGTGGTCTTTCAGGCGTAGATCGTTCTTCGCTGCGACGCGCTAACCAAGTTTCCATATGACGACAATGAACACATGGTGGCGGTGTACCTTTCCCAGATCGGCGTCGAGACCACAGACGTGGTACCTGTTTAAAGAAATTTCACATTTTAATTATTCATTGCCTTCAAAAAAAGGTATATCACTGATAAAATTTGTTGATGTTTTTAAAAGTTGTTGCTTTATTTCATTTAAAAAATATTTATTTATTTTAACTATTTTAATTTAGATTAGGTTTTTATTAAGATCTTTTAATATTGACTATTCTTTATTGTACTTAAAAATCAGTACAGTAATTTAAATATTGTTTGCAAATTTGGACTTATCTCTAGAAGAGATCTCTTCCAGCCAAGGTATGGTAGTCAGAAATAATGTAAAAAGCAGGCTAAATTCGTGCAGTCGTAATCATATAATAATATATAGATACAAAATATATATATATATATATATATAATATTATAATATACACTTACTATACCATACATTATTATGTATATACAATGATACATACATACTACTACTTACATAAATACATATCTATATAATACAATACGTAATAATACTAATTAAGATAATTTTTGATTTAATTGAGTGAGAAGGTGCTGTTTATGAAGGTGAATATTAATTTAATATAAGGAAATAATTTCAATACCTACATTTTTTTTAAGAATAGTAAAGTTTATACCCATATAGTTATCATTGAAAGTAAAAAATGGTCATTATGATTGAAGGCTTTACCTCTAAGTAAGTGCCCGAGTCATCAGATCCGGCAGAGTCAAAGGAGCGGCTGCGTGCGCCCTGCTGCGGTACTGCTAGCAGAGAACTAGCGCCTGCCCCGCGCGCCGCTTCGAGCTGTATCTCATCGAATGACGCCGACCGGACCTAAGTAAAATGATGAAATCGATTACATGATAAATGAAATAGGTATGTATAATCGTATTTTAATATAATAACTAATTTCATTAACTCTTCGAAATATTGATAGATCTATAAAAACTTTGCCTGTCTAAAAAAACCATATCCATCCCATTTTTAGGGTTGCTACTAAAAGGTAAGAACAGAATCTTTGTAATTGTCATGTCCGTATTTCAGTCATTTTACTATATTGCTGAAATTTAATAGTTCCATCCTATCCGGCATTCCATACGTGTAATTGAAGGGTAAAAAGAAATTTGAATCCACATAATGTAATGTAATATCTCTACTCTACAGATAAGTATTTATAATGAAATAGAAGTTTCTAAGTAAGTTCAACGCAATAATTTTCGAGCTATGTATGTATATAATGCTAATAAAGTGGTAAACATTATGAAACTTATATAAATAAAATACTTTGGTTATTATATCTTAAGTAATTTTTAAAATTTAGAATATTAACGGTCGACGAAAAATAAAACTTTTTTTCAAGAAATACTATGGAATACAAACAAACTTATTTTGGCTGTCATTAAAATGCGTATTGTATATAATATCCAAATACTTAATTTTATTAACATTTAATGTAATAAATTACGTAAGTTAAAACATAACTTTAATGTTTGACGCTATGGAACCCTCAATTACGTTAGTCAGACTCGCACTTGTCGCTCATATTTTTTTTATATGCTGGGACATTAACACGGAGCACCATCTTGTTCCATGGTAAGTTACAAGGCTTGTATTATAGATACCAGACAGTTAATACATTACACATATATAACTTTAAATACATACATATTATAAATATAAACAACCATGACTGGAGTACACACATTCGTGCTCATCACACAAATGAATGCCTCCAACGGAACTTGAACCCGCGACAGCTGGCACAGCAAGTAGGGTCACTACAAACTGAGTCAAACGTGTCGCCGAATTTAAAGTAATTATTGTTACAATTTACAACCATATATCTGTTTTGCTGAGCTTGTGAACATTATTCCAAATATTCATAAATGTACTTGAATTTTCATAATACGTAATTGTATAGGAAACAATGTAAGGGAAACCCAGGTAAACTGAATACAACCCATTACGCTTAAATTATTATTTGTTGGCTAACAGTCCAATGTTGCTGAATACGTAGCAAGTGTTTGGGCTGGTATTTGTGACGTAGGGTGTCAGCTACGGGAACGAAGTAAGTTTTTGCGTATTAACATTTTACTGTTGCTTTCTCGATCATACTATCCTTTAATGTATTTTGGTATACGAGCGAAGGTAATGTATATTTAAGTATTAAACAGTACAGGAGAAAAAAATAGATGAAATTGATTTCGATAGACTTAAGTTATTCTTATATAAGGTAATCTTCAAAAGTAGGTACATGAGGCAAAGTAAATCGGGCAAAGTGGATGACCTAATTACTTGCCGTTTATCGATTATTGTGACTTATTTCCTTTTATAGAATTATTTATCTGTTGTTTTATATTTTATTGTTAAAGGATCTAGTCTGGATATCAAGGAACAAACATTCCAAATAAATATCAGATGAGCTTTTATTGGACTCTTCTATGTGTAATTTAAAAAGTTAAAATTAATTAAGGATAATAATTTTAACTTACTTTGCTATTATTTGAAAAGACAAATTACTAAGCAACACTATTACGAGTATATTACTATATACTTTTACAAATGAAAAATGAAAAATATTAATCTGATATGCTGTAATTTTGCTCCACACAGTAAGAACTTACTACGTAACTAAACTTACTGAACAATTATATGGCTTAAATAATTAATATTATATTTTTCTTTATGGTTATAAATATAATAATGGCAAAACTAAATATAGATTACTAATTAATATTTTTAAAATTTTTAAAATTGTAATAATTATAAGAATAACAGCAAAAATTAAATAAATAATATTCCATATTTAGTTATAAAACTAATTAAAATTATAAAAATGTTTAAAGTTAAAAAATATTGTAAGGTAAATGCAATGTGCAATTTTCATTTTGTTAATTGTGGGTAGGCGGTCTGTAACAACTATACCTTCGAGACATCCAACACCTCAGTCTCTCCCCTGACCATGAACGCTGTAAAGCGTTCGAAACGTCGGGAAACAAAAATCCAAATAAATCCGCGAAAAAATCCGAAAAGATTATTTAAAATGTCAAATATTCGCGTAAATCTAAGAAAGTAGCTTTTATTTAATTTATGCACATTCATCCTACAGTAATAAATATTCATTTTTATAAGTAATAAATATTATAAAATTGTGAATAATAAATATAATATATTTGTAAATAATAATTATAATAAAAATATAAATTGATATTTATATTTTTTTTTTAATAATATATAATAATTTTGATTCTCACATCCGCAACACACTTCCGCTACACTCATTTTCCCAATGTTCAAAACATACTCATTTAACTTACTTAATGAGGGCAGTCACGCCTAAAGAAGTTTTACTTCAAAAACAAATTTAGAAAATGTTATCGAGAAATCAGTTAAACAAATCATAAGTATTTAATATTACTAATGAAAATAAATTTTATAGAAAAAAAACTGAATGAAATGACAATATGTAACATATTAAAGCGTGAAGCGATTGCTTTTAAACTCATATTTTTTAAACGTTTTTGCGTTTGCCTCTGAAAATCCTTTATTTAAATGAGCAATTTTGATACACAATTTATCAGAATTAGTTCAGCCATTTAGTAATTATGCGGGAACATATAATCGGTCATACGTACTGGTCAAACACACTGTTACCCTACCCTACTATTGGGTTTCACCGCAATCGGATAAATAGGATTTAATGATTTTTTATTATTAGTCAAGGCGTTTACAGTAATAACAACGTATGTATAAAAAAAAGCTATATATATATATATATATATATATATATATATATATATATATTTATCAAAGCAATTTAAGTTAGTTTAAAGGTACTATAACAAAATGCAAATCTTAAAGTTTCTATGTACTGAAGTTATTATTTTATTTATAGTAATGTACCAGCGACTCACCCTCGCTTCGCTCGGGTTCGTCCCTAGCTTGATTCCCCATACAAACTGTCATCCCAATTTTCACCCCCTTATGGGATGATTTCCGAGATAAAAAGTATCCTATGTCCTTCCTTAGGGTCTCAAACTATCTTCTTACTAAATTTCATCTAAATCGGTTCAGTAGATCCAGAGATTACCACTACAATTATTGTATTATAACGTCACAAACTCACAATCTCACAAACTTTACCTCTTTATAATATTAGTATAGATAAATATTATTTATTACGATGTGTGACAATTGTGTTATAAAATTACATGTCCAAGGTAGTTTACTTGTTTTCTTAACTTAACTTTAAATTGGCTCCCCTCAGCTTATCGAATACTGCGGTTAGTTTTCGAAATCACGTCTCACAATAATTATGTCATCCAGATAAGCAAGACAGGCTTCTCCTAATAACCCAGCGCACCCGAATACAACAAACCCGAATGAAATAACCTTAAACTGTCACAACCCTTTTCCAGTTGTAAATGCAGTCTTCCTTATCCTTATCCGCGAGATCCATATCTGTCAGGCAATAGCCACTCGTCAAATCCAGAGTTGAAAACCTTTTTATGCCACTTAGAGAATCTACGGTGTGTATTCGAGCTAAGGGAAAACCATCCTTCTTAGTTGCATCTTGAGTCATGTTTCTTCTATACTAGTACTGCTGGAGAACACCAAGGACTAGTGGAGTATTCGATGACATTATTCCTTCTCATGTCTTGGATCATGTCGTCTACATCTTTTTGTCGTTGTCGAATAGGCGTTACGTGTCTGATGTTAATTCTGTGTTTTACTAAACCAGTTCTTCCAATGTTCCCGTAATGTTTAGAAAATAAATCGGCATATCGGAGAAGTATTTTTTTATCTCTGGAGTTCTGTAAGGTCTTCTTTATAATCTTTCAAAAGTTCAATTGCTTGATCCTCATCCTTGTTCAATGTCTTTTTGACTCACATTCATTCAACCAGGCAATCTCTTCGTGTGTAGGTACTGACAAATAGAGTTTATTTTTAGTTACCTATTAAGTCGTTAATATTCATGTTCAGAAGTCGCTCGAAAAGATCTAAGCTGCTCTACTTGGAAACTTAAGAAAATCTTGAGCGACCTTTAAATATTAAAATATCGCTTGAAAATTTCAGAATTCTAATCATTTTTACGAGTATAGTAGAAAATAATGAAATAACAAGATAAGAAAAAGAAAAAAGTAAACATTTACTACGAATTTGAAAATTTAAAAAAAATTGAGCGACCACTTAAAAAAATTTTTTTAGCTGCGCTTTGGATATTTGTAACATAATAAACTAACATATTTTCGTAAGAGACTTGAAAAAAAAACTATTTGTTTTTTTTGGGCCTCCCTAAAATACTCATTATAATATGAATGCAGATAACATGAAGGATTTGAATTTATAGATTTTTTTTGTTTGGAAGTAACTAGGGAATTATAAACAAAACAAATTTAATAGCGGTGAGCTCTTCGTTAGCAGGTCAAAAAGAGCAAGGTCAAGCATCCCTTCAGTAAGAACTCTCGCTAGCTCTCTAAACTACTCCTATTGAAGTTTCCTCTTATAAAGAAAAACAGTTTTTGTTCACTTTCATTACTATTTATAATTGAAAAGTAAGTATTATTAACGTTTTACTTAATAATTACTAGTGAAAACTAGGATATATTTAGATATGTTTAATTATATAAGAATGGAGTTAACATAATTATTATAGAATAGAGTTTATTTTTAGTTTCTATTTAAATCAAATTATGGTACGTGGTAGTAAGTATGAATTCTTATATAGTTATCAAATTAAACAATTACAGAAAATACAGCGACTAAATAATATCTATTATAAGTTTAAAGGTGTCTGCCCACTACACCGTCTCATACCATATCCGTGCTAGGACCGTGTCAGGTAAAAAAATATTCTTTGTATTGAGTATGAGACTACCCACTAGATCGTTCCGTCAGCGGACCGGCACCGGAACGGCACCGTAGTGTACCGTGCACGGAACGGTAACAATTGTCGGCGAGAATATTATGCCGGTGACGGTACATTCCGTGCCTGGCACGCGACGTTACGGGATCGGTGCGCGCAGGCGGCGTAATTGTGTTCTGTCTCTAGTTAAATACTTAAGAGTTGTTATACAATATTACGCTATCATAATTTGAAATATTGGGTATCTTATAATATAATATCTCTTCATAAATAATATATTTTAAATGTGAATCAATTAAGCTGTACCTAACGCAGAATGTCATTGTACTTATACAATGCGTATGCAATATTATTTACAATATGCTATCGCCTATGAAACCCTACACAATGGCATATCCAAGTATTTGTTTTGTCATCTGAATATGTGATTCCAAATCTCTACTACTACTATTAGCGATATATATATATATATATATATATATATATATATATATATATATATCTATATATATAAAAGAAAGTCGTGTTAGTTACTTCGCTTATAACTCAAGAACGGCTGAACCGATTTAGCTGAAAATTGGCAGGGAGGTAGTTTAGAGCCAGGAGAAGGACATAGGATACTTTTTATCCCGTTCGACCGCGTTCCAATTTTTATGATATTTTAATTTTTGGATTTCTCTTAGTCCGGAATAGGTAAGTATTAAAACATATAATTAAAATGTGAGAAAGAAAGATTTTTTCTTTTTATATCTATTTAAAACGTACCTAGCGACGAACCCGAGCGAAGCGAGGGTGAGCCGCTAGTATATATATATAAGCAAATCGACTTGTGTAAGAAAGCAGATGTTTCCATATGACGACGAGTTTTGACGATTATATTGTGAGATACGTGAAGCGTATTATACCTTTTTTGAATTTATTTCATTAATATATAACATTACTTGGAATTATTCTTAATTCATATTCTCATTACAATTTACAACTCACACGAATACTAACAAGTGACACTAGATAATTTCATAAATTTTTATCTCATATCTCGCGGGAGCTGTTGCGATAGAATTAATTTATATTGAAATTGTGCTTAGGTACAGCGACACAATTTTCTTATGAAAAAGGGAAAGATTTTTTTATGATATATTAGTTATTTTTCAGTGCTTATTATCTGTCGTTTTCACTCACATACAGTATTTATTATTTTTTCTTCTATTGAATAGGCACAACTGTAGTTATTCTTTATCATTTGGCATAGATTTACGATTTTGTTTTATAGGTACATATATTTGGTCCTTCCAGTTTTTTTATATTTTTTTCGTGAGTAAAGTACAGACTATAAACAAAAAAAAACAACTTAAATATTTATTCACACATGCAAAAGTTAATTCCTACCTATCTTCAAAAGTATAGTAATAAAAAAAATATAAGCCGTCGGGCGACCCCCGGCCCCGTTAGATACGAAGTTCCTCACGCCTTTTCCTTAATTCCGAATGTAATTTGATATAAAGTGTCCATGTCCGTAATTTGATATAAATTGTCCACGGGTATAATACTTTAGCATGGGAACCCTTAGAGGCACGGATAACTTAAATGTAGGTATAATACACATCGTACATACATATTATAAATCCATACTAATATTATAAATTCGAAAGTAACTCTGTTTGTCTGTCTGTTACCTTTTCACGCTTAATCCGCTGAATCAATTTAGATAAAATTTGGTATGGGGATAATTTGAGACCCTATGAAGGACATAGGATAGTTTTTACCCCGAAAATCATCCTTTAAGAGAGTGAAAAGGGGGTGGAAGTTTGTATGGGGAATCAATCATTTCTCAAGAAAGGGATATAAAACTTATCATATTCTACATATATTAAACGTCAAAACGTACCTAGGGACGAACCCGAACGAAGCGAGGGTGAGTCGGTTGTAGTAAATAATTAACACTCATTAAACGTATGGAAGCAGTAATTATTGGTTTAAAATTATAAAAATTTATAACTTACTTTTCTAAGTTTGTATTACACATACTTGCTGCAGTTTCCATTTCTTAAATCTCCATAAAAAACGCATTTTAATAAAATTGATAGTTTTTGAAAAACAATTTTATTTAACGGGCCATAACATCGAGTATATTTAACTAACACGTGATGTAAACAAGTATGGCGGCCAGCGCTTGACGATAACATCCGAACTACGCCGAACGGAACTGAACGTCTCGTAACAATTTTTTAGTTTTTAAAAAAAAAATGACTAACGACAACGATGTTATGTTTAACAGTTTAACTAAATTTTACAATGTGAGAGCAATTTAGCGTGCAACAATTAAATAATAAGATATGTATATTTAGTTACTTATTTTTAACTTGACTAATGTAGAGACTAAATAAACGTACCTTCTTGTAACTAGCTAAGAGCAATAGAAATATCTATTGTTTTCTTAATAAAATAAATATTTCATACTAACAGCTAATTGTAAAGGAATTGTGCTATTTAGAAGGCTTTCGTTAGAAATATGGGAACGTCTAACTTCATAAAGGTGGGTAAAAATTGGAAAATCTAATAAATTCTCCGCAAGTTCCTGTACACTGCAACAAATTTTAAAATAATGTTAAGAGCATACTTTTATGAACTTAGAAATTGCTCTTAAAAGTTTATGTCATTAGACTTTAACATAACGAAGTGGAATTTAATCTTAAAAGTCACAAAATCCAAAAAACACTATCTTTTTATAAACATTGCAACTACATATATGTGAAAAATGTTTGTATGCTATAATGGAGAATGTTAGATCGTTTTTGATGCTCACCGACCTAACTTGAAGGTTTTCAATTTCTGCTTGCTCAGTACTGAGATTGTCAATCAGAGTTTGAACTTCATGAATGCGAAATTCTTTATTTTCTAGAAAAATAGTAGCAATGAGGAATATACGTGCTCTTTTTGTTTTTAGTTTATACAATAGCTTTCATCGTTATATAATAGTAAAAATATCCAGCTCCTAAAAACTAAAATTTAGTATAAAAAATTGTTTTCAAAATATACTTTAAACGCCTACCATCTTGGCTTGGCATGACGTCATAGTCTATGACGTCATGCCAAGTCTACATTGCAAACAACGAGTGAAGTGGTTTAGAAATATTTAAACAGCAACGCTTTGTTATTATAGACTTTGACGTCACATTCGGTCTGACCAAAGGCGTTGTATTTCAACTACTTCGAATTTCTCACCTATTTTTGCACTTCTTAATAATATTTTTTTAATTATAATAAAAAATATATAATATATGCTTAATTTAGAAGCAATAAAGATTATAAAAAAAATATTTCACCATTAGTTAAACCACACGCATATTCCTTATTCTATTGTGGTTAGATTTGTAAATATTACGATGGTATTTTAATAGTTGTTGATTATTTAATTAATAGTTATTAATAGAGTATCTCTTTCAATTAGAATATTAATTGTTTTAGAAACGTGAATGCAGTGCCGGATTTAACTTTAGCGCCGCCCCTGAGCATAGTAAAAAAAGGCCGCCCTATAATCGAAATTTTGCATAAAATGGGTAATGTTCCAATAAAGTTTATTTTTTTTAATTATATTGATAAATGATATCAATTTTTCGAAAAATGTATCTACTAATTAAACTTTTTTTATTTTTCATTTTTTTGGAAAATAAAAAAGGGAAATTCGATAACGCGAAGATTTTTTTTCCCGTCCTCCGAATTTTGCCGCCCATAAAAATTTGCCGCCCTGAGCGATAGCCCCGAGTGCCGCTAGTGTAAATCCAGCGCTGCGTCAATGTATAAGTATAATTTGAATTTATAAATTGATGAAAGAAAACCAATTGTTAACACAAATGAATTCAGTCTCATCAAGGATAGAGTTATATTGATACAAACAGTAAGTTAATTACTTAGTTAATATGTTGGGAGTGGAACATTAACACACAGCACGATCTAGTTCCATGGTAAGTTATGAGGCTTATGTTATGTACATATATCAGATAGTTGATACACCACATATATATAACTTTTAAAAACATCTATACTAATAAATGGAGAGCCGATTTTTTTGTTCGGTTATACTGCGATAACTACTGAACCGATCGGAATAATACTCATACCATAAGATGCAGCGTGTTTCAGAGAAGGTTTTAGTATATGATATGTTTATGATTAATGTACTTTGCGGGCGGAGCCGCAGGAAAACGCTAGTACATATTATAAATATAAAAAACCTATGACTGGAGTACAAAAATTATTAGCATTATAGCACATTATAGCTGGCACAGCAAGTAGGGTCATTACAAACGAGCCAAACGTGTCATCATAGTTGTTTGTTGTTTTCTAATTGAAAGTAGAAGATCTCAAGTGATGTAGAATATTTTACATAACAATACTTATGTATTTATATATAAAGCTTTTTTAATAAAATATAAAGTATACAACGAGGGGTCTTGATTTATATACCTTTCTATGAATAATTTTAAGTTTAAAATATACAAATTTATTCCAAACTTGTTATTTTCACAAAACTAACTTTCCGGGAAGAATGGCCGATATTAAACAGCGTTAGTAGTAGTTGTATCAAATATAAGAGTATTTTATAATGCTGAATATGAAGAGATTCCTTATATTATATTAGTGACTTGTGTACCTGCTTGGGCACTTCGAGGCTGCTTTGCGTCTTCATGTCCTGCGGCGTTGGAGTCCGGGATCGTTTGAAGGTGGTGCGCAGTCGCTGCATGGCAGGCGGGGCGGGCAGCTGTGCCGCTCATCTCGCGGGCCCGCCCCGCCGCCCGCTCCGCTCGCCACTCTCAACAACACTAATAAACAAGTAATTTTAAAAAACTGAACTGTAACCCCATTACAAAAAAAATAATATAATAAAAAAAATATATATTCTAAAACCTAAATACGATAGCAAAAATAATTACGCTATGTCACTTGGCAATAGTAAAGTGTCGATTGTCACCTTGTTAATTAATATTGGATAAGTAGTTTAGGCGCTACGGTGAAACATACTAAATACAAACACACATAGACAAAATAAAAACTTAATCCTTTCTTTTAATTGTATGTAGTTGGGTAAATATACAAATATTGTATAATAATAATTTGTGTATTTAATACAAATTAAATTCAAAACACTTAATTTTCCAAAAGGCAAAGCTATATAGAATTAAACGGAGCTTATAAAAACTTATCTCCCTTAAAAATCTAGATTAATGATCTGTTAGCCTTAAAACATAAAAGTAATGTCGTGCTAATCACTGCCTCTATTATAAAATATTAATTCGAATATTCTAGCGTATGAATTGTATATAAATTTGTGTTGCGTGGTAGTTTCTCATGTAATAAATAGCTCTACCTGTATAAGTCCGCGCAATATCCCCCACGTAATAAAATTTTCACCAAGTAAACAATTTTTCTTCCTGTTATAAAACTGCCATACATTTTATATGTACAATAATATGATGAATGGCGAACTAAGAGCTTCATAAGTCACACACCGAAAGAGGACGATAGCTACGTAATATATTCAAAAGTTTTCTTATTGTAACACAAAAACTTACCTGAATAATGTACGTGAAGAAATGTATGATTAACGCACGTATAGAATAGAAATAAGTTATTCATATTATAAATGTCTTTTTCTTTGAAGAAACATGATTGATTGATTTTTTCAGGCAAATTCAGTTGATGTTAAATTATTCAATAGATCATGCTTCCATCCAAATTACATTTTTATTTTATTGTTTACCTTAAAAATATTCCTTCCTCTCAGGCTCGAATATGTTATAAAAGTGAGTATTGCTGCTATAATTAACTAATTTTTAACAAAGTATTTATAAAATTATTAAATATATAAGGATTTATGATCTTTGATAAGAACTCAGCGCTACCTTAGAAAATATTTTTCAAACCAATCTTACAAAGTTAATTACCATAAGCGTTCGTGTTAAATTTATGTGATGTCTATTAAAATAAAAGCAAAATTGGAGATGATAAGCTAATATTCATAAAGTTAACGGAGCTATTATAAAGACAAAATGTTTACCTGCCGTGACTTGCATTCAATAAGATGAGACTTGGTAAACTAAAAATTCTTTTAAAGAAATATTACACTACTGTTGATATGCAACTGGAATGTATCTAATATATTTAAACGAGCAATTCTTGCATATATATATTTATGTCTGGGAAAACGCGTGTTCTTGAGTTTTCATGCAGGTTTGTTTCGCATTATTCCACGCAAAATATGTCGCTAATTCGCACATAGGACATAGGCATCGTGGTCAAGCGACCAAGGCGCAAGTTTGACAGCCATATGTGTCTGGGTTCGTATCCCGGTCGGATACAACGTTTTTACTTCTGTTTTTTTGTATTTATTCAAATTTTTTTGTTTGTTTTTTTTTGAATGTTTTTTTGGCCAAAAACTTCGAGCTAAGCTCGGTCGCCCAGGTATTGTTCTTTTATTTGAAAGATTACTCGTATAAAACAACCAATAAATGTTCGCAGAAAAATACAAGTTTGGGAGTTTTTATGCTCTTCCTGCTTATTACACAAAAGTATACATACATGTTTTCGTATTCACAGAGACGGGCACTATAATTTTATTCAATTTACAAGCATGGTTGGTTATAAAATACGACATAAGAGCCAGCTTTGTTTTACTGTCTGAAAGAGAGATTGAAAAAATAACATAACATTCCAAAAAAATCTTTCGATAGCTAAGATATTTTTGTTAAATAATAATAAAAGTGGGTTAAAAATATATTCGTATTTCAAATTTCTAAGAAATTTTCGCAAAAGTCAACGATCTCGTCTCTCCGATTCCGTCGGGAGAAGTTTTTACTACTTTACTTTTTATAGAATACTTTCCAACCAATAAGTTAAACTTTTTGCCTGCTCAAAATAATTAAAATCCAAATACCTAAAGGCAGCTTGCGCCCACATGTAGCAGTGGATTATTTTAGTAATAGTTTGTATTAGAATATTATATTTTACTTGAAATAATTCAACTTAGAATTAAAAAAAACTTCTATACAAGAAAATATTATTTATCATCACTACTATTGCTACATACTCGTACCTCTCTATATCCTTTTGTTTTGTTATTATTATGCTTTCCCGTATATAGTTAATAAATATATTGTCGGGAATAAGGTGGAATATCAATGTAGTTTGGGAATCAGATCCAAAAAACTACGTATTAGATAAAAACAAGTGCACTCGGGCGTCAAAGAATGATTTACGCTTGTCTTTATTAAAAAATAAAGTTCGTCATTTTCACTTAATAAGACTTATAATAATAAAAAATTGTTCTGTTAATAACTTTAATATAGTTTCATATTTTATATATATTTTTGTCTTAAGTCCTATCTATAAAACTACCTGTTTATATAGTAAAAATCAGAATTCTTTTTGGCCATTATTGTCGAGACACGCTTTTTATATTAATGAAAGTTAGTTGATGCCTTGACTTTAAAAGTCAATTTTTTCAGGCTCATCAGATAAAAAAGATTAGTCTGTTCAAAGTTATTCATATTCCGAAAAAAAATGGAAATGACAAGGAACAAAGTCTATCATCATCTACAATTTTTTAAAGTATAATTCCGTCATAATTCTTGTGCCATGTCTCTGAAGCTTTAATGAATAATACCAGCAACAGGTCAACCATAGATTCACAAGCGGTTTTTTTTAGGTTTACGGTTTAGAATTAAGTTTGTCATTTGTGTGCTTATTCAATGTGTTTAGGCAAACTTTGACACGATTTTGTTGTTTTCTCTCAATAAGTTCATACGGCATCTATTTTCCATGTTTTTTTTATCTTTCTAATTTGCAGCAAATTAATCAATATCGTTTTATCACTCACATCGAAGGTTGCTTTTAATTACGACATGATTTAAAACACACTTACTTTCATTCGGTTTTCATTTCATCATTATAAGCTTTCATCTGAGTTCAACTGCAAAGTTCATCAACATTTCTAGAATAAGAATGATTAAACCAACCAAAACAGAATACGATACTTGATTTATAGTTGTCGTTGATATTGCGTGCTATCTGTATTGCGTTGATGCCACGACGGACCTCATATTAAAAATAATCCTCAATTTCGTTGTTTACGTACAGAATAATCTATTCTATAATGAATTCACCCCTTTTTAACATGCCAAGAGCAGGTTGGCGGACTTCACATGTTTTTCGAAAATCTGTTAGGTTCTTTTAGAAAAGCAAGTTTCTTCACCATATTGTCGTTCGCCGTAAGACGAATGGTAATCATGTTGAGAAAAAAAATTCTCACATAAAAATATCAGATGCGAGGCATCCGGAATTTGAACCCGCTTCACTTGGTTTCTCAAGCAAATGCGTTACCGCTGTTTTATCACTGTCGTTATACAGAATATACAGCGATAGTTTTTTTTTTAAATATGTACATATTATATATTTTACGTATTCGTTTCTTTAGCATTTAATATGTACAGACAGAAAAGATAGTTCCTATAATTGTGATGAAGGTTCTATTTCCAATGTCACTGTTAGCAAGTTTTAAAATTTTTGATCAGTATTTTAAATAGTGTTTGGTTATTTAGCAAACATAATGGTGACTATCGCAATGACAAAATTAAATACATACATATTATATCGATCATAAAAGTATTTTTTGCTTGTACAAATTTATTTAAATACAAAGGCATAACGTACTTAACAGTTTATATTATTCATATTATAATTATAATGAAACTTGCGTGTTAATATGTCGCTAATGTTGTACGGTAGGTAAAAGCCATTTTATGCATGACATGAAATAATTAAGAACAGTAACTCACTAGTCCTACCTTACCTACCTTACTTGTACGTAGAATTTCGCTAAAAGAATATTCGTTTTATATATGTATTCAAAAAATGAAACGAAACCGACACGCTAAATTAGTTTTACCTAAAAACTCTTCGTATATATGAATATTTTATAAGCAGAAAAGGTTTATTTCAACGGTTATATCAATTTTTACTTTTATTCAATATATAGTACCGATGTTTCAATCACGAAAACTTGAAAAACTTATACAAGGATTTCTTTTTTTTGAGCGAAGTAAAATAATAAATTGATATTTTTCTTCATATTATTACCAAAAATCTAATCTTAATATATAAAAAAAAATTGAAAATAAAATACTCACTAAAAACTAAAAGGATGGAAACAAGTGGAACAAGGAACATATTTATTTATTTATTTATTAATTATAATTTTTGGGAAACAAACAGTGAGATAATTCTTAAAAATAATTACTAACTAAAACATCCACACACCAGCAAAGTTTCCACCTATAAATATGTCACAGGTAGAGTAAACATGATTAGTTCAAACATTAAAACAATAAAATAAAAATTTTAACATAAGTTACTGCAAAATAAAAACACAGTATGAAAAGACAACAAAATGTTTTATACATAATGCAAGTCTTGCAACAATTAATTATTAACAATCAAAAAATACCGGAAACACTTTTCTATAATTTGTGTCACGTTAAATTGTGAAGTTAATGTTAATTTGTAGATTTAAGTATGTTCCACCTGCATTCAGAGGACTCTTACGACTTTCAACCGAAGGTCAACTTTATATACACACCTTTAGGTAGGTACGAGACTACGAGTATACTTGGCTTTCCGGAATTCGTGTCATCACCGCCACTCGAGCACGCCTTGTCACAATCCGTTTTAGGACTGCGAATACGCAAGCTACATAGAGATTATCGATTTTACAGGTTAT